CCATCTCAAAAAAAAAAAAAAGCTGGAGATTAGCAGAGGTTGGTTTATGAGGTTTAAGGGAAAAAGCTGTCTCTATAACTCAAAATTTCAAGGTGAAGCAGCAGGTGCTGATGGAGAAGCTACAGCAAGTGAATCCAGAAGATCTAGCTAAGATCATTGATGAAAGTGGCTACATTAACAGTGTATTTTCTTTCCTTCTTTCTTTCTTCCCTCCCTACCTCCCTCTCTTTCTCTCTTTTCCCTTCCTTCCTTCCTTCCTTCCTTCCTTCCTTCCTTCCTTCCTTCCTTCCTTCCTTCCTTGTCTCCCGCCTTCCTTCCTTTTTTCCTTTCTTTCTCTCTCTCTCATTTCCTTTCTTTTCTTTTCTTTCCGGTCTTGCTCTGTGACCCAGGCTGGAGTGCACTGGCACGAACATGGCTCACTGCAGCCTTGACCTCTTGAGCTCAATTGATCCTCCCACCTCAGCCCCCAAGTTGCTGGAACTATTGCCACACACCAACACAGCCTACTGATTTTTCTGTAGAGATGGGATTTCACCATGTCGCTCCAGCTGGTCTCCAACTCCTGGGCTCAAGTGATCCTCCTGCCTCAGCTTCCCAAAATGCTGGGACTGCAAGCGTGAGCCACTGTACAGGGCCAACAATAGATTTTCATTGTAAATGAAACAGCTTTCTATTGTAAGAAGATGCTGTTAGAACTTTCACTGCTAGAGGGGAAAAGCCAATATTTGGCTTAAAAGCTTCAAAAAACAGGCTGACTTTCTTATTAGGGCTAATGCAGCTGCTGACTTTAAATGGAAGCCAGTGCTCATTTACTATACTGAAAATCACAGGGGCCTTAAGAATTATGCTAAATCTACTTCTCTGCCTGTGCCCTAGAAATGTAACAATAAAGCACATCTATTTAGAGCATGGTTTACAGAATATTTTAAGCCCACTGTGGGGACCGGCTGCTCAGGAAAGAAAGATTTCTTTCAAGATACTGCTGTTCACTGACATGGCCCCTGGCCAACCAGGAGCTCTGATGGAGATGTGCAAGGAGATTGATGTTGTTTTCTCGCGTGCTTGCATCTATTCTGCAGCCCATGGGTCAAAGGGTAATCTTGACTTTCAAGTCTTATTATTTGAGAAATGTTTTATAAATCCATAGCTGCCATAGATAGTGATTCTTCCTCTGATGGATATGGGCAAAGAATCACCATCCTAGATTCCATCAAGAACATTTGTGATTAATGGCAGGGGATCAAAATATCAACATGAACAGGAGTTTGGAAGAAGTTAATTCCAACCCTCATGGGCAACTTTGAGGGATTCGAGACTTCAGTGGAGGATGTAACTGCAGACGTGATAGATATAGCAAGACAACTAGAATTAGAATGGAGCCTGAAGACGTGACTACATTATTGCAATTTTATGATAAGAATTTAATGGACTACGAGTTGCTTCCTATATATGAGTAAAGACAGTAGTTTCTTGAGACGTAATCTATTTCTGGTGCAGATGCTGTGAACGTTGTTGAAATGACCACAGATGATAAAGAATATCACATAGTTGTTAAAGCAGCAACAGAGTTTGAGAGGATTGGCTCTCATTTTGAAAGATCTCCTGTGGGTAAAATGCTACCAAACACCATTATGTGCTACAGAGAGAGCTTTCATGAAAGGAAGAATCCATTGATGTTGATAATTTTATTGTTATTTTAAGAAATTGTCACAGTCACCCCAGGCTTCAGCAGCCGCCACCCTAATTGGTCAGTAGCCATCAACACTGAGGCAAGACCCTCCACCAGTCAAAAGATAACAGCTCAGATGATTGTTAACATTGTTTTAGCAATAAAGTGTTTTAAAGTTAAGGTGTGCACACTTTTTTAGACACACTTGCTTTATTGTGATACTTTATTCCAGTGGTCCACAACTGAACCTGCTAGCTCAGATGTACACCTAGACACTTGTCAAAAACCATAGAATGTATGACACCAAGAGTGAATTCTAATGTAAACTGTGGACTTTAGTTAATAACAGTATGTCAGTATTGGCTCATTTATTCTAACAGACATACTACACTAATGCAAGATGTTAAAAATTGGGGAGCTTCAAATAAAAGCAATTTTTTATTTACCAAAAAAGCAAAAACCAGAGAAATTGAGAGGAAGAGTGGGGATCATATGGGAACTTTGTGCTTTTTGCTTAATTTTTTTTTGGAGATGAAGTCTTGCTCTGTTGCCCACGCTGGAGTGTAGTGGCATGATCTTGACTCACTGCAAGCTCTGCCTCCAGGATTCAAGCTATTCTCCTGCCTCAGCCTCCCGAGTAGCTGGGATTACAGGCATGAGCCACCATGCCCAGCCTAATTTTTTCTGTAAATGAAAACTGCTCAAAAGGCCGGGCCAGGAGTTCAAGACCAGCCTGGGCAACATGGTGAAAACCCATTTATACTAAAAATACAAAAAGTAGCCGATGTGATGGCACATGCCTGTAATCCCAGCTGCTTGGGAGGCTGAAGCACAAGAATTTCTTGAACGCAGGAGGCAGAGATTGCAATGAGCTGTGATTGTGCCACTGCACTCCAACCTGAATGACAGAGTCTCTGTCTCAACAAAAAAAAAGTGCTAAAAAAACTCAACCTTAAAAAAAAGTTGCAGCTATTTTTGCCTTTCTCTTGGCCCTGTTTTCAGAGTTACAGCCTGTTTAAATAGTAATACTAAGACCCTAGATCATGGGTAATTAATTGGATTATCCTTAAATTTTAAGATATATACAGTTGTGGCTTAAATACAAACTAACAATTTCACTTAGCAAAAGGGTAAGGAGAACTTTTTACTTTACAGGTTTTTAAATTCTAGAGTCATAGTATTTTATTGTTAACTTGTAAGTTACCTTTATAGAAATTCTGAATGCAGTATGTTTAGTTGAAAAGTGCTATGGAAATGTCCAATATGAACCATTAACTAACATTTAGGTTTTTCTGGTAATATGCATACTTACCATTTCTCTAAATCATTTGACATATCTCAAAACCTTCATTTTTAACAGCCGCATTAGTCACATATTCTATCATGCGTATATATTGTGATTTAATTATTTCCCTATTGTTGGACATTTGTTATAGCCAATTGATAACGTGCCTTCTAAAATGCCTCCCTTGATATTTTAAAGAATGATGGCCTTGTGTTGTCATTTCAGCCTGAAAGGTCTGTGACTCTATTACATATGCCAAATAGGGCTATGTGTTTTGGGTGGGAGACTGCTCTGGGGATAGTGGACCCTCCATCTAACTTTCCTTTTTTAAATTATTCTGCAGCCTAGTATTAGAAGTGATTGCTAAGTTCCATGTACATTAGTTAGAATTTGTCTTTATATGTTCCTCCATTCTCTGGTCAAATTTTAACTTTTCTCAATATCTTATCAGCAGTTTCTGATAGCAATCTGTAGATTTTAGGTTTTTGGTTTTTTTGGGGGTTTTTAAAAATGATGTTAGTTCATATCTTTTATTAACTCATACACAATTACTTATCTTCTGATTTGTTGAAGCAGTAAGTCAGACATTTACCACAGTAATGTCTGTCAAAGTAGTTTGCCATAAACACTCCAGCACCATCTGAGGGGTACTCTTAATGAAGGTCACTTATTTTGCCGTTCTCATCCACCTCATAGTATTTCAGGACAGCCAGCTTCACCTTCTTTCTCTCGGGCTTATCATTCTTGGGAATGGTGTAAGACTTCTTCCTGTTCTTAGCACCACCACAGTCTCAACCCAAGATGAATTGTAGAGTCCTTTTGAATGTTGTAGTCAGACAAAGTATGTCCATCTTCCAGTTGCTTGCCAGTAAGGATCCGTCTTTGCTGATCAGGAGGAGTTCCTGGATCTTGGCCTTTACTTTTTCTGTTGTGTCCAAGGGTTCAGCTTTGAGGGTGAAAAAAGCTGAACCCTTTGGTCTTCTTCGGAAGGGTTTTTGCAAAATCTGCATTTTGGTGTTAGCTCCACTGCAGATAGCAGATGGAAAAAAAAATTTTAAAAAGGAGAAGCAGTTTTAAGTTTTTAACTGTTGTTAGGTAGAGCTAACAAACAAATAATTAACAGAGGAAAGATTCTCATGCATGGGGAATTTGCAGCTACTTGCTAGCCTCTTAATAAATGTTGAAGCATGAACAACGATTAGGGAGGTAAAATTATGGACAACTTTTTTTCAGTATTTTCTTCTTTTATATTATGTTATGATATAGCATGGAGTAGATCTGGGTTCAGATATTTTTGCTACCACTTACCTTAATCTTGGTTAACTCACAAATTTCAATGCTTAATTAAGAGAAAACATGTTATGCCAAAAATTAGTTGAAAGATATGAGAATTATGTATATTGTACACACTAGATAAACTTATGAATGCCAATTCAAGAGATTACGTGGTCACTCAAATAGATGTTGCTGAGAATCTGAAGGTAGATATGCAGTAAAATGCGCAATTTAAATTCTAAGTTGTTAATATAAATATAGAATGGGGCTTCGAGTATAAAAAACAATTAAGGTGTGTAAAACTTAGAATTTTAAATATAGCTTTGGCTTTACATCAGTTTTCCGTATATTTCTGAGACCAGGATTGTAGAGAACAACATATGAATTTCCAGCTTTTAAAGATCTGCTTCTTACCAGTTTTATTTTCTTCCTACATTCTTATGCTCCTGATGTTCAGACTATCCTATATGTCTACTAATTATTATATAACATAACATATAACAGGTTTATATACTATATATTTGCCACATCATGATACCTGTTCTCTGTTTAAAAAATCTTGTATTTTTCCAACTCTACTTTGTTATTATCCTTTAATATCTCGTCTGCACTTCGTTTTTTTGTTTGTTTGTTTATTTTGTTTTTTACCCCATAACTCAGCAATCCCTTTTCCAGGCATATACCCAAAGGAAATGAAATCACCACTTTGTAAAGATGTCTGCATTCCCGTGTTCATTGCAGCATTATTTACAGTAGCCAAGGTATGGAAACAACAAGTGTTTGTTGATAGATGGATGGATAAATGAACTGTGGTACACAGGGAAATTGGAATGTTATTCAGCCCTAAAGAAGAATGAGGACATGCCATTTTCCACAACATGAATGAGCCCATAGAACATCATGCTAAGTGAACTAAGACAGACACAGAAAGACAAATAGTGCATGATCTCACTTATATGTGGAATCAAAACAATTCAAATGTAACAGAGAACAAAACAGTGGTTAGGAGAGAGGGAAGCAGAGGAAATGGGGAGATGTAGGTAGAGGATACAGAACAGATATATAAGGTGAACAAGTCGCCTCTTTTTCTGGCTGGAACCATGGAGGGTATAGAAGAGAAGAAGGTTCCTGCTGTGCCAGAGACCTTAAGAAAAGGTGAAAGAATTTCTCAGAGCTGAAGATCAAGTACAGGAGAGAGAATTTTGCCCAAAAGATACTTTGAAAGGCAAAGAGGAAGCTACCTATGAAAAAATGAAGCACTATCACAGGAAATATAGGCAGATATACAGAACTGAAATTCAAATGGCTAGGATGACAAGAGAAGCTGGCGACTTCTATGTACCTGCAGCGCCCAAATCGGCATTTGTCATCAGGATCAGAGGTATCAATGGTGTGAGCCCAAAGGTCCGAAAGGTGTTGCAGCTTCTTCGCGTCTGTCAAATCTTCAGTGGAACATTTGTGAAGCTCAACAAGGCTTCAGTTAATATGCTTGGGGTATATATTGCATGGAGGTACCCAAATCCGAAGTCAGTAAATGAACTAATCTATAAACATGGTTATGGCAAAATCAACAAGAAGTGAATTGCTTTGACAGATAACACTTCGATTGCTCAGTCTCTTGGTAAATATGGCATCATCTGCATGGAGGATCTGATTCATGATTTGTAATGTTGGAAAATGCTTCAAAGAAGCAAATAACTTCCTGTTGCCCTTAACATTATCTGCTCTATGAGGCAGAATGAAGAAAATGACCACCCATTTTGTAGAAGGTGGAGATGCTGGCAACAGGGAGGACCAGATCAACAGGCTTATTAGAAGAATGAACTAAAGTGACTACCATGGTTAGTTTTCTAAGCTGGTCAGTTAATAAACAGTACCTGCTCTCAAATTGGAAAAAAAAAAAAGATGAACAAATGGAGATCTAATGTGCAACATGAGGACTCCAGGTAATAAAATTGTACTATATGTAAGGGATTCATGTTAAATGAGATTTTAGCTGTTCTTGCAACACACATAGAAAATAGGCATGTGAGATGATGGATATGTTAATTTGCTTCACTATAGTAACCGTCTTATTATCTATATATATCACATAACAGCATATGTATATCTTAAATATACACAATGAAATTAATTTTTAAAATTTTTACTCTATAGAAAACAACATTACTTTTCACGTAAATACTGTTGTTTTAGGATCGTGGAGTGAAAATATACTGGAATATTTTCTGAGAAATAACCAGATTACCACAGAAGATGGCGCTGAGATCACCTGGTATCATGCAGCTAACCACAAGGCACAAATGAATGAGGCACTGAAAAGTAAGTCAGTACAGTTACTTGTAATTTACTTTGGATAATAGATAATTCAACTCCTTTTTCATATCTAGTTATATTTGCAGATACTAGGGACAGGTGATCCAAGTGTAAGTTCCAGGCTGACATAAGTATTTTATGTATTTATTTTTATTTATTATTTAATTATAATTTATTCATTTTTAGAGACATGGTCTCACTCTGTTGCCCAGGCTGGAATACAGAGGTGTAATCACAGCTCATTGCAGGCTCAAATTCCTGGGCTTAGGAAATCTATGAGCCACCACACCCGGCTGAACATTTTTATAAAATGTTTCATTTTGTTTACAATGGATAAATTGCATAATGGAAGAATTTTTTTATTTTCCAGAAGTGATTTGCTTGTTATGTCTGATTCGAAACTCTAATATATTATTATATTTTCTTACGTATCTAGTGATTTGAGTAAAACATGTATCTTTCATATTTTTATGTCTTCCATTGTGTACTAATGAGAAACTCACTCATTATTTGTTCAATAGATGAATGAAGTATACTAGTTTATGATTACTAAATAATTGGGATATTTATGCCTAAGCCAGAAATCAAGTTTTTGGTTTACTGCTTCAACCTGTAATCATTGCATGCATATCCCTTCAGTATACAGATGAACATTAAGGCAGTGTTTCTCAGCCTTTTCCTATAAAGTGCTCGTATTGGCTACAGCAGGAAAGGAGAATGATAGCATATCATCATAGGGCTGGGGCAGAGCTTGCAGGGCCTGGTCCAACAGGAAATTTACCTTGAAGTTCCAAGTTTTATTGTAAAAATTTATGCATTTTTGCATCCTAGTCTATTATATATCTGAGCTTCTTGTATTGTCAAAGCACGGTTTTTAAATTGTCTTTTTCTCCTCAAAAGGAAGAACTTTGTCTCATTTCATATTGAATCCCTAATGCTTAAAACCGTGTGCAGCATATAATAACTACACAATGATTATTTAGTAAATGAGTTTTAGCAAAATTGATGCTTCAGGAAACAGTTGATTAATGGTTGCCAGGAACTGTAAGGAGTCAATGCTAATGAGTACAGGGTTTCTTTTCGGATAATGAAATTTTTCTAGAATTACGGAATAGTGATAGTTGCATAACCTTCAGAATACACTAAATAAAAACCACTGACATGTTCACTTTAAAAGGGTGAATTTTATAGTATGTAAATTTTGTCTCCGTTTTTAAAAATGAAAAAAAAAACTAGGAAAGGAAGAAATGAAACCATTATTCCCAGACAATATGATTGTGTGTATAGAAAACAAAAAAGGTTATATAAATAAATGATCATAATAAATAGGTGAATTTAGAAAATCTCAGGATATGGTCAGGGATGGTGGCTTATGCCTGTAATCCTAGTACTTTGGGAGGCCAAGGTGGGTGGATCATTTGAGCTCAGGAGTTCAAGATCAGCCTATGCAACATAGTGAGACCCTATCTCTACAAAAAATGGAAAAATTAGCCAGGCATGGTGGCATGTACCTATGGTCACAGCTTCTTGGAAAGCTGAGGCAGGAGGGTCAGTTGAGCAATTGAGCCCAAGAGGTGGAGGCTGCAGTAAACTGTGATCGTGCTATTGCACTCCACCTTAGGTGACAGAGTGAGACCTTGTCTCAAAAAAAGAAAGAAAGAAAATCTTAGGATGCAGGGTCAAAATGGAAAATAAGTTCTGTTTTTCTCTTAACAACAGAAAATCCAGAAATACAACTTTTGAAATTGTACAGTTTGTATAATAATGGTATATACAGCCCTTTTGGCTCTCTGAGCAGCACCATGGTGGTTGGCAAGAACAAGCGCCTTACGAAAGGCGGCAAAAAGGGAGCCAAGAAGAAAGTGGTTGATCCATTTTCTAAGAAAGATTGGTATGATGTGAAAGCACCCGCTATGTTCAATATAAGAAATATTGGAAAGACACTAGTCACCAGGACCCAAGGAACCAAAATTGCATCTGATGGCCTCAAGGGTCGAGTGTTTCAAGTTAGTCTTGCTGATTTGCAGAATGACAAAGTTGCATTTAGGAAATTGAAGCTGATTACCGAAGATGTTCAGGGCAAAAACTACCTGACCAACTTCCATGGCATGGATCTTACCCATGACTAAATGTGTTCCATGGTCAAAAAATGGCAGACAATGATTGAAGCTCTTGTTGATGTCAAGACTACCAATGGTTAATTTGCTTCGTCTTCTCTGTGTTGGTTTTACTACGAAGCACAACAATCAGATACGGAAGACATCTTCTGCTCAGCACCAACAGGTCTGCCAAATCCGGAAGAAGATAGAAATCATGACCCGAGAGGTGCAGACAAATGACTTGAAAGAAGTGGTCGGTAAATGGATTCCAGACAGCATTGAAAAGACAGAAAAGGCTTGCTCATCTATTTATCCTTTCCATGTTGTCTTTGTTAGAAAAGTAAAAATGCTGAAGAAGCCCGAGTTTGAATTGGGAAAACTCATGGAGCTTCATGGTGAAGGCAGTAGTTCTGGAAAAGCCACTGCAGATGAGACAGGTGATGAAGTTGAACGAGCTGATGGATATGAACCACTAGTCCAAGAATCTGTTTAAAGTTCAGACTTACAATAGTGGCAAATAAAAAGTCTCATTTGTGAATAAAAAATAATAGTATATACAAAGCCCTTTTTCTGTCATAGCCTGAGGATGGTGAAAAGTTACTTTTGCTCTGCTGAACAGGAGTTGTCAGTGCAAGGCAAAGTCTGGCCATGGTCACAAACTGGAGCTCCTGAGGGTGCGGTAACATATGCCTTGATAGACAGACATCCTCCTCTGGGTCTCCCTTTTATATGAGACTATTAGAACCATGCAGTCTCCCAAGCAGAAGTGTGCCCTGGCTTTCAAAAGTCCTCTAACCACAGGCTATGGATGGGAAAGTAGGGAGAGAGGCTGGGCAGCTTCTGTATCTGTGTCTCCAGGCCAGGCCTCCCTCTCTTGTTAGGACTGTTAGTATTAGACTATCCAACTGCTTATTGATGTTTGCACTTAGAGATCTCTCATGCGTCTCAAATTTACATTATTTGAAATGAGATTCTTGCCTATGTTTACTAACCTGCACTTCCTATGCTCTTTCCTGTCTCAGGGAATGGTACCACAGTCTACTTAGATGTTTCAACCAGAAATCTAGGAGTCATTTATTCTCTACTTTGTTTATTCTTGTATCTGATATATCATCCAATCATTATGAGTCTATTCCAAAATACATTTTGAATTAGTCCACATCTCTCCATCTTTCTTATCATTATCCTAGGAGCCACCAGGATTTCTTGCTCTTACTGCTGTAGTTTCCCATCTTTTTCATGTAGGAGACCTTAGGAACATACTTTACATGGGTCCAGAGACTCCTCAACTTGCCTATTTACTGATATTTTTTTTTCTACTTATTGGCAGTAATGGAATTAGCACATTTTGGGAGGCCACAGGGTCAGGAGTTTGAGACCAGCCTGACCTATATGGTAAAACCCATCTCTGCTAAAAATACAAAAATTAGCTGGGCATAGTGGCAGATGCTTGTAGTCCCAGTTACTCCGGAGGCTGAGGCAGGAGAATTGCTTGTACTTGAGAGGCAGAGGTTGTAGTGAGCTGCGATCATGCCACTGCATTCCAGCCTGGGTGACAGAGCAAGAATCCTTCAAATAAAAAAGGACCATTGCTCTTAAATGAAAGATTCCAAGCTCTTGTGACCCTTTATAACCACACTGATAAAGGAGACCTACAACCCTACAACCCCCGTCTCCAACTTCAGCCTGGAAAAATAATAAAAGAACAGATCATCTGTCTTTCTCTAAGTCTACTTTCCCTGTTATCCTTACAGAGGTTTGGCCATAGGCTGAAAGAACAACTTCTCTGTATCTGCCATCCCCCTGGCAAGATGAGCCACACAAACATCAGGACTCAGCACTGTTCACATGGTTGAAGAATTCCACCTTTGGCAGAGGGCTGGAAGCTGTTTGGATAGTACCTGGACATTGCTTAGAATTGCATTTGATAGAGAATAAAAGGAGTGTAAAACTCTGATTGGTCTTGGTGTTTTGGTGTTTATTTTTCTATTTTTTGTAGAGAGGCTGGTCTCAAACGCCTGGCTTCTAGCAGTCCTCCTGCCTCAGCCTCCCAAAGTTCTGGGATTATAGGTGTGAGCACCACACCCAGCCATTTTGTTATTCTATGCTTTGCCTCACTGTAATTAAAAGAGCCTAAATATGGTCTAGCTTAGAGAAGAGAAACATAGCAAACATCCATTGGGTTCTCACTGCATCACCAGTCCCCCTTTCTTTCTTTCTATAAAACTTTTTGTTTTTTCAGACGGAGTCGCGCACTGTTGCCTGGGCTAGAGTACGATGGTGTGATCATATGATTCTCCTGCTTCAGCCTCCCAAGTAGCTGGGATTACAGGCTCATGCCACCACACCTAGCTAATTTTTTGTATTTTTAGTAGAAACAGGGTTTCACTGTATTTGCCAGACTGGTCTTGAACTCCTGACCTCGTGATCCTCCTGCCTTGATCACCTGAAGTGCTGGGATTACAGGTGTGAGCCACCTTGCCTGGCCAAGAACATTCCTTTTATTAAGGTATCCATTTCTGCTTCATACAAGCTTACGGAAACTGCTTCCATTTGTAGCTCCACGGGTGGATTAGAGTAAGTTAACCAGCACTTGAAGTTTTCCTGATGATTCATATTGCTCCCATGGTGGGCAAGTGATCAAACTAGGCTCAGTTAGACTCTAATAAAGTAATTATATCTACACTTGCCAAAGAAGTTTTATATCTTAAAATTGAAATATGTGAACATGAAAATATGTAGCCCCAGTGGTTATTGGTAGCTGTCTTATAATCATGAGTTGAAATTAGCCTTAGGATGAAGACAGCACCAAGGACAGTGAATAAAAGAGACATCAAGATCCTGGTAACATCAGTGAGCTGCTGATTGTACCACACTTAAAGCTCACCTGACCTGTGGACTTTCATGATGATAAATCTCCTAACTTGAGTCTGAATTTCTGTTTATTTGCAGCCAGAAGCGTCCAATAGATTTATGTCTGCCCTAATTGAATAGATTATTTTCCCTGCTTCCACACTTGTGCCTGTCCAGTTTATTTTCCATCCAGCATCCAAAGTGGAATATTTAAACATAAATCCCATCTCTTTTTTTTTTTTGTCTCAAATGGTTTTCCATTTAAAATCTTTAATGTAATTGCTAGATGGAAACACATTTGGTTCTAATGCCCTGGTTTCCAAGCGGAGAGATTTTTCCCTAAGGCTTTGACCTCTTGCCTCACAGTTTATTTCTGTCACAGAGGTGGAGATGCTGTTTTGGTTTGTAGTTCTTGACTGGGTGGATATCATCTATCAAATGTGTGAGGCCAGGTGAGGTGACTCATGCCTGTAATCCCAGCACTTTGGGAGGCCAAGACCAGCCTGGCCAACATGGTGAAACCCTGTCTCTACTAAAGATACAAAAATTAGCTACACATAGTGGTGCATGCCTGTAATCCCAGCTACTCAGGAGGCTGAGGCAGGAGAATTGCTTGAACCCAGGAGGCAGAGGTTGCAGTGAGCCAAGATCATGCCACTGCACTCCAGCCTGGGTGACAGGGCAAGACTCTGTCTCAAAAAAAAGAAATGTGCTGGACATGGGAGTGAGTTCTTTGCTTCCACCCGGACACTGGGAAGCAGCCATATGGATATTTGTAGTTTTTAGAACTTTGCTTTGAAGGGGCTGTTCCAGGATTTCGACTAGTGGGTGACTGGCAGTTAGTAGGTAGCAGGCATAGGCTCATTTAGCTCTCAACTTATCTGTGTCCTCTGACCTGGCTTTAGAGGTTATACAAGTATACTTTGATCCCCCTCTGCTTAACTTAACTATTTTATTTCTCAAGATTCATTTGGAGGCCAGGTGTGGTGGCTCACGCCTATAATCCTAGCACTTTGGGAGGCCAAGGCAGGTGGATTGCTTGAGACCAGGAGTTCAAAACCAGCCTGGGCAACATGGAGAAACCCTGTCTCTACTAAGAATACAAAAATTAGCTGGGTGTGTGGTGGTGCAAGCCTGTAATCCCAGCTACTTGGGAGGCTGAGGCAAGGGAATTGCTTGCACCTGGGAGACGGAGGTTACAGTGAGCTGAGATCATGCCACTGCACTCCAGCCTCAAAAAAAAAAAATTCATTTTGAGAAAGGGGTGCTATTTATTGGCAGTTTCAAACCACCTCAATAACCTGCACTAACTGGCCTATTTCTCCAAGTTCACGTTCACAGTGTTTTCACATTCCTAGAAATTCCTACAGTGGCCTCGTAACAGTTCCTCGCATGACTACGCTCTCCTCTTCCTCTTGGACTATCATGCACATTCTTTCCTGGAAAGCTCTTTTCCCCACACTCTGCTGAATTGTCACTTCCTCAAAATGACTTTTCCTGATTCTAGAATCAAAATTCAAGGTAGCACCTTCATATGCAGCCTCTTGTGACTGGCTTCTTTCACTTAGTATGTTTTCAAAGTTCAGCTGTTTTCTAGTACATCTCAGTTCTTTATTCATTTTGATGGCTCAATCATTTTTTTGTGTGGATATACCACATTTTGTTTATCCATTCATCAGCTGATAGACATTTGGGTTGTTTCCCTTTTTTGCTATGGTTACTGCTGCTATGAACATTCACATACAAGTATTTTTGTGGACATGTATTTTGAGTTCTCTTGCTTATATGTTCAGGAGTAGAATTGCTGGGTCATATGGTAACTGTATGTTTAACTTTTTAAAGAACTACCGGGGCCAGGCGCGGTGGCTCACGCCTGTAATCCCAGCATTTTGGGAGGCTGAGGCGGGTGGATCACGAGGTCAAGAGATCAAGACCATCCTAGTCAACATGGTGAAACCCCGTCTCTACTAAAAATACAAAAAATTAGCTGGGCATGGTGGGGTGCACCTGTAGTCCCAACTACTTGGGAGGCTGAGGCAGGAGAATTGCCTGAACCCAGGAGGTGGAGGTTGCGGTGAGCCGAGATCGCGCCATTGCACTCCAGCCTTGGTGAAAAGAGCGAAACTCCGTCTCGAAAAAAAGAAAGAAAAGAAATCTGGGAGCCTACAGACCTCTTTTTGTTTTGAACTGTCCTTGTCCTTTTTTGTCCAAGTGGATACATTTCCCTTAAAAATATAGTGGACTTTTAATATGTTAAATCTAATCAGAAGCCACACCCCCAAGTCTCTTGGAGGTAGGCCTCTCTCTACTTTGGTATGCAAGTTAAGGTACTGTGGACAACATCCTTAAGATTCCAGAAGATTGCATATCTAGCTATGTGGCTACATGAGGTACCTTCTTTCTGAGTGATTAATGAAGGGTCGTATGGTTGTGTCCTTGGCTTGATGTTGACACTGAGGCCATATTTTACTGGCAGTGCTATGGTTTGAATGTTTGTCTCATCCAAAACTCATTTTGAAATTTTTTGGTTTTTTTTAGAGACAAGGTTTTATTTTCTAATTCAGGAAGTCTTGAGTTGGAAATCTTTTCTCTATATGTTGGTGAAAATCTGAACCGTTAGTTATTTAGCTTAGTTCTTTCTTCTCTTTCTTTATAATGATCAGTTAAATGAAGCCAGTTGTCACCTTCACCATTTCCCCTGGAAACCTCGTTAGCCAAATACACAGATTTATTGGGTGTCCTCTCTGTCTTCCACCAGTTGCTACAGTGACAGTGTTGCCAGAATTTTTACCAGTATGGAAAACAATAAAATGAGCTTACTGTTCTTAAGCTTCCAATAAGAATTTCTGCACTGCTCTTCCAACTTCCATGAACAGTTCTCTCCTTGCCTTTCTTAGCCTCCGCCAGGTCGCAAAGCCAATGCCACATGTTTAAGGTTTTTTATATGGCAGCACTCCACTTCCAGGTCCCATTTCTTTTTATCTATTGCTGTGTAATAGAATACCCAAAACTGAGTGGCTTAAAATAGCAGTAGTGTGTTTTTTCTCATGATTTTGTGGGTCAGCTGGGTCGTTCTTCTGTTGCATATAGTACAGGCTGAGGACGTTCATGTAGCTGCGTTCAGCTGGGAGCTCCGCTGGGCCTGGAAATTCCAAAATGACCTCACTCATATGTCAATGGCCTTAATGCTCTCTGTCAGATAGGAAGTCTTAGTTCTCCTCCATGTGGCTTCTCTCTCTCTACTTGGTCTCTCAGTCTTCAGTAATCTTTCCTGAATGTCTTTACATGGTGGCTGGATTTCAAGAGTAAGAAAGCTGAAAGTGCCAGCTGTTTGAAAGGCTAGGCCTAGAACTGACAGTTTTATTTCCACTACCTTCTGTTGGTCAAAGCAGTGCCGATCATAATTCCAAAGGAAACAGTCCTAAATGCCATATCCCAAGTGTTGAAACGCTGAAAGATCAAAATCCATTGTCTGAAATCCCTAATATCGAATTGAATCCCCAAACTGCAGTGACAGATTCAGAATTAGGTACAATCGAGGCTACTGAGAATGAATTTCAAGTTGTTACCAGTAAAGTTTGTTTTTTTCATTCAGCCTGATGCCTTTGACAGAAAACTCAGATGAGTGGATTGGCCACGTGAAATGGTAATGACCAGAATTTCAGTTTAAAATGAACTATGGGTCTACATTGGCATTTTTTCCAGCTGAGGAAATCCCAGGAGCTTTTAGCAAATCAAAGCTGCATTTGCATGAAGAAGCCAGAGAAGATAATGACAGGCGTGGTAGGATAAGAAGGCATGCCATGGGGTTGCTGTTCTACCATCAGTATTGTTACCACCAAATTTGTGGTCTGTATATAAGTGCATGTGAAATGGATTTCCATGTGCCCAAAACAACGTAGACATGTGGCATAGAAGATGGGAAGATTTAATAGGGAATACTCATGCAAGTATATATCAAATCATAGAAGAAGTTCAGAAAAAACTGCGCCACATAGAAAACGAATCTGAATGTATTTTCCAAGGAGACTCATGCCCTAAAAGAAAAAATGTGGCCGGATGTGGTAGCTCTCACCTGTAATCCTAGCCCTTGGAGAGGCTGAG